GATCGCTTGAAGCCAAGATGCAACGCCTGTTGCTGCTTTCCACAGCAGACAACTCGCTGCTGTTGCTGCAATGGAGTGAGAGGAGTGCCGACTCTATCACTGACTCTGGAAACCTTGTGCTTCTAGATCAGATTCGCTTGCCTTTTCCTGTTCTGCAGTTTCTCCGGCATGAACCAGAGACACCCTTCACCGAAACCATCGAGGCCAGTAGTATTCAAGAGCGTGCCTGCCGCCTCCTACGGGCGTTTCCGTGGGAAGGGGATTTGCTGCTGTCAAAGTCAGGTGCTGACGATGAACAAAGTAAAGGGATTGATTTCAGCGACAGCACAAGTGCCTCTAGCAACACTTCAAACCCGGGGAGTAGCCCAGGAAAAGGGCACTGTTTCCAACGGCCTGCACAAGTTAAAGCCAAGGGCAGGAGCGTCGGATCACTTATTCGAGACTTTCCTTCTTATGGCATTGCTATTGTTTCGACAAACGGTAGCGGGGTCATGCATACTCTGGAAGATCACGCTCTGCAACGCCAGCAACGAAATACATGTTTATATGGGAACGAGTTGTTGGCGGTCGCCAGTTCACCTGCCCTTTCTGGTCTCGTGGTTTCCTTGGTAAGCAGCAACTTACTCAGGGACAGTGTATGCAGAGTGCGAGCAGTTTATGTGTGAGCGTAGCTACAGTGAGCTGCATTTTGCTTTTGCTTGCCTGCTTCAGAGACGCTCTCGCGATGGACATCTCAGGCTATGTCTCGAAGACAGCGACGGCAATACACATTTCGTTGGCCAGCTCGATTTGCAGGTTCCTTTGGAAAGCGAATCCAGCTTCCCGAGCAGCCGGGTTCCTGTTGGGACTTCGTGATGTGGAAAATCTCCACAAGCTAACCTGTTTTCCAAGTATCTAAAGCGCCCCTGACATGCCTTTGGATGTATAGAATCTAAGCAACCCTTAGGTATTTTACTTCCGCTTACGGTCTCTTCCAGAAACTTGTTACCGATTCATCTTGCTAGCAGCAAGATAGGTTTTCTTTTTAACTGATTGCCCTACCCTGTTAACAGTTGTAAACGCTGCAAAGCTAGTCTGAACAGAGGGAAAATGTATCAGAGGTGGCAAGAACGCCAGGCAAAATAGCCGGGGAGGGGTAACTGTTTTCTTAGGCTCACCCTCCGAAAACCATGCCTAGTGCTGAGACTTCCAGTGCTAGATTCACGGTGAGGTAGATCTGAAGGCGTTCAAACGCCAGTTAATGCACCCTCGCAGTGCGAGAACCCCATTTTGAACACAATGTACGCATAGCTAATGCAGTGGGACGGAGCATCTCTATATTTCACGAAGAGCAGATGAAACAGTGGCGGCAAGTTTTAGCGTAACTGGCACAAGGCAAGGACGTTTGTCGAGCGTTTGTGGTCTAGTGGTAGAATACCTCGTTGCCATCGAGGTGACCCGGGTTCGATTCCCGGCAGACGNGTTTGTGGTCTAGTGGTAGAATACCTCGTTGCCATCGAGGTGACCCGGGTTCGATTCCCGGCAGACGCACGCTTTTGTTTCGCTGTAGCGTTTTGTTTTGAGGAGCACGTAGAAATCCGGGCCGTTCATAACCAGGTATTTTCCAACCGATAAACAGCCAGGGATTGCGGCCTGACAGTCCTGAGGCTAGCAGAAAAAGCTAGTATTTACTACAGTACGGAGTTTCGACGGGCGCCCCCAGTATGTTATGGCGGCATCGAACCCGTTGCAGTTTCCCTTGTCTGCACATTCGGCTCCGAAAATTCATTTTCTGGTTAGTTACTGCAGATCACTACTGAGGAAGAGCCGGGAAGGCGGGTGTCAGTTTGCGAGACTTCCTAGTAGGTTTCTATGATCATGCGTGCTATGCCATCAAGGGGAGAACGCATACTCAGCCACATGAAGCACAAACGCTCCATAAAGCTCGACGGCAATAACCTTTCCCGCTAGGTTTGATGCCTCTGTTCTCAGCAAGTGAATAACCGCCCGGATCAGTGTTGGGCCAGGGAGTGATAAAGATTGCAACGAGCATCAACGAAGTGTCTTCTTTTCTCCTCGTTAACGATAAAAATTCGCACACTGAAATGCTCAATAAATTCCACTTGAAACATCTCAAAACCGCAAACTGCACGGTAACTAGAGCTGCCCTGCTTCACTTCTCGAGCACTGCAGATCTCTGCTAACCCACCTCGTTGACTCAAACTGCATCCTCCATCGCTCCGACCAAGAAACACACAACAAAACAAAACCAGTTGTTAAAGGTAGAGCAGTGAAGTGGCTCTAAGCATGTTTCGCCTGAACGCACTCCAGGCCATTCCGGGTCTCGGCAATGCGTCCCATACTCCCACAGCCCTCTCCACCTCCTATTTGCCTTCTTTCACGTTTTTTCTCAGATATGATGTAGAGAGCGCCGAATTGTCGCCAAAACGATACCCCGAGTTTCACAAGGAAGCAAGAAGCGCCCCCGGGGGGCCCCCCACCATCTAGGGCTTAGCCAACAGATCACCAAGCATCGGTGTCCACCCTGTGCAGCTGCCTGCCAGTTCTCGTGGAGTTGTGAAATATCCTTTATATGCAACTAGTGACGGCCAATATAAGGCGTCTTCGGGGAGGGGGCCCTTGCTGAGGCAGTGGGTGGTGGGGGCCCCCCAGCAGGTGGTTGCGACACGGTGGTTGTGTGTATACTGTCTCTCTCAGCAACGCTGCTGCTGCAGCAGCAACACACCTATGTGGTTTAGGGGGTCGCGATGAGCATTCACTCTCCCGAAACAGACGAACACCCTGAGGAGCGGTGTACAACTGAACTGCCAGAGGTGCAGGATCGCGAACAGTCCGCGGAGCAGCAGCAGAAAAAACAGCAGCTACAGCAGCAACAGCAACAACAGCCACACGATGTGCAGCAAGAAGGGCAGCACACTGAAGGAAAGGAGCAGTCGTTTGTACCTCCCCCTGATGTAGAGGCAGAAGCCACCGCTCTGCAGAGCCGCTGCAACCCCCAGCTAAAGCAGCAAAATCAAGAAAACACTTGCGGCCAGACGCATCAACAAGAGCAGCACTATGATGCGCAGCAGCAGCAGAAGGACGATGGCGAGCGGCAAGGAGTTGTCGAGCAGGAAACCATGTGCTGCGGCGACCAGCAGCAGCAGCCCACAAGCAGCAGCAACAGCAGCAAAAGCACCCACATCGCAAACACCAGTAACGGAGCCTGCTGCATCAGCATATTGACAGAGAGTGGCAGCAGCACGATAACTCCGCGGCGGCGAAGAGGCAAAGCCGCATCGAGATCCACTTCAACGGCAGCAGCAGCTGCAGCGCCAACAGAAACAGCAGCACCGGCTCGCTCACCAGAAGCAAAGAGAAGACGAAAGGGTAAAACAAATGCACAAGAAGCTGCAGTTTCTGCTGCTGCTGCAGAGCGCATCACAGCACCAGAAGCTGCTGCTGCAGACGACGACTTCAGCGTGATAGAAGTATTCGCTTACTCCAACAACCAGCAAGTGCAGCAGAAAAGATATCAACAGCAGCAGCAGCTGCAGCAGCAGAAGAAACAGCAACAGAGTAAATGCAAGAGGATACAACCGGGCTCACAGGACATCCTAGGGTATTTCCCTGCATCGTCTAGGCCCGAGAAAACAGATGCAGCAGCAGAACCAGCAAACAATGCTGCATCTGCTGCTGCATCTGCTGCTGCCCCTGACGGCTCACCTGCTGCCTCTGCTGCTGCAACATCGACACAGGGAAAAACAAGAAAGCCAGCAGCAAAAGCAGCAGCAACGACAGAAACGACAACAACATCGGAGGCGGACGACCGTAAGGGAAGGAGACGCAAGAAAGCCGCAGGCGATACAGCAGCAGATGCTCCAGCTGCTGCTGCTGCAGGGAAGAAGGCTGGGGATTCTCCGCTGCTACTGAAAGGCAGGAAGCAAGCAGGAGCAGCAGCACCGCCGACGCCTTTGCTGCTGCGGAGACCTCGGGTAAGGAAAGCAGCAACAGCAGCACCAGCAGCAACGCCTGGGGGATGTAGTGATATCTCTGCTGCTGACTACTAGGGCTGCTGGTGCTGGTGCTGGCTGGGTATTGACTCCTTTCATGCATATCTTTGTCCTAAGCTTGCTGCTGCTGCTGCTGCTGCTGCTGCTTTCTCTGCTGCAGGATCCTTCAGAGCTAGCGGACTTCTCGCAGCGAGTGCGCCAGCGACTGCTTCTGGTTGAGCAGCAGCTGCAGCGGCTGCAGCAGGAGCAGCAGTGTCTTCTTGCTGCTCTTTGGGACCTCGGGCCGGCAGCAGCAGCTGCTGCAGCCACGACAAGTGATGCGTTCCCAGCGCTGCAGCAACGACCGCGTGTCTCTGACCAGCTGCAGGAGCTGGAGCGGCTGCAAGGGCAGCCGCAACAACAAAATGCAAGAGAAGGTGAAGCGCTGCAGCAGAGTGGTGGAGACCAGCAGCAGCAGCAGCAGCAGCAGCAGCAGCAGCATGCAACACACCAGTCGTCAGAGTCCGATAGTGGCGGCGGGCTGCCGTGTCAGCCACTGTCGCAGCAGCAGCTACAGCAGCAGTGGCAGCAACTACAGTACCACCAGCAGCAGTTGAAGCTCCAGCAGCAGCATGTGCTGCTACAGCAGCAACTGCTTGCTGTGACGCTGCTGACGGATTTAGATAGAACGGCTCCTAAGGAGGCCGTGTCGGCAGCAACAGCAACAGCAACAACGGCGACACCCCCAGCAGCAGCCGGGGAAGCAGCAGCAGCAGCAGCAGCAACAACAACAACGGAAACTTCGCTGGGCTCAGAAACTCCACTCACTGCAGCAGCACTTGTCTCAGCTAAGTCAGCAGCAGTGGCCCTCTCACAGGAAACAACAGCAGGATCCGCAGCAGCCACTGCTGCTGCAGCAGACAGCACAACGTCTGTACCTCTGGCAGCCGGATGCATCTCCCCTGCTGCAGCAGCAGCAGAAACTGCTGCAGCAAGCAATGGAGACTTAGGAAAAAGACTTAGTGCCCCAGGAGCTGCAGGAGAGAACGCAGCAGCAGCAACTGCAGCAGCAACAGCTGCTGCAGATCCAACTGCAACACTCTCAGCAGCACCAGCTGAAGCTGCAGCTGCAGCAGCTGAGAACTCTGCTGCAGCTAGAGTGGAGTCCTCGCCTTCAGCAGCAGCTGCAGCAACAACAGAGGCGAGTCAGCAGCAGCCAGTAGGGGATCCATCGCAGGCTCCTATGGGTCCTCTGGCAGAGCAGTCACAGCCGGAGCAGCAG